CCCCTTGCTTCTGCCAGGTCTCCAGCGCTGGAAAAGGCAGCACCGTGAGTTGCAAACGATGCAGGAGGCTGTTGCCTGCACAGCTCCAAGGCTCAAAATTTCTCCTCCCACTAGCCAAGCTTCAGACAGTTCTCGCAGCTTCCCTCCGACTCACTACATCATTCATGAAGCCGTGAAAGCCAAGGCCCATCCAACCTGCATATCTATAGCCAAGCTTGGCTTGCAAGTTCCTTGGCGCAAGGACTGCCCGCCCAAGGCAAGCCTGTCCGCTGGAAACCTACCTAGCTGCGAGGTCAGAAGTAGCTCGACCCAGTGTAGTACAACTCAGCAGAGCCTATGGCACCAGTGGAAACAAGCAGCGTTTTGTGGGTGATGAAGTCGCCGGCCAACATCTCTAAGCCCCTGAGTCACCACTGGTACAAAAGACAGGCTGCCACCTCGAAAGCGTCACATGTCGCTTCCCAAGCGAACTCCAACAACACGACTTCCTCGCTTTGGGAGTAAGGGTGTCAGTCCGCTTCTTTGCATCTCTCTTTTCCAACAAAAGAGGTGCATGCGAATTAATGCTAACCCCTGCTGAAACCCTGAGAGAACAAAGCGGCTGGGACTCCAGAACAAGCCCTTGCACCCCAATCATACAGAGCAGCAGCTGGCCGCAGTTACGCAATTCACGTGCCCAGACACACAAATACGGAATCCGGAGTCTCCGACCTTAGATTGGGCAAGTCCCGTTTCGGAGCCGGCCTACTGAACAAGGAGTTGGATAACAAGCGCTTTACCTGGTCGTCTTTGAGAATGATTGAGAATGAGGTATCTTCCAGCCGAGGCCTGGGGCCGTAGGTGTATGGGTAGCATAACCCAGGTACAACACCTCTCATTCTCTAATTTTCTGCCACAAGCACAGGTGCAGCTGTATTTGGCAAGTTTTGCTTGGAATGATTCCCCCCCCCCGCCCCCTTCGCCGAGCGGTATCCGGGACGGTGTCGGGATCAGCGGGACATCTGGGGCCGACCAGAGGGCCAGAAGGGGTTTCCCTCTCCTTCCGCCCCCCTTTTTTCGACCCCACTTTCTTCCTCTTCGGCTACTCGAGTGCTTTCCTTTCTTCCCCCCCTCAACCACCATTTGGGATTATACCCCCCCACTCCCCGCTTGCCCGAACCTCTTGGAGCCTCCATCCTGTGGGCCGCTTCCACCCAACAAAACATGCCAAATGGTCTGCAAGACCAGGCGGCGCCGCAAGCGTTTCAAAAGCTATTCTGCCGCACGAGCTCGTCACGCGCTGTTTGCGCAAAGACAATCCTGCTTGACCTGATTGATGTCTATGGAATGCACAGGGTCGCAAGGCTCCACGACGTTGGTGGCTACGACTCTACGTAGTTCTACGGCTCTACAACAAAGGACCCGCAGGCCACAAGGCCGGTCATGGCCTGTGCTTAAAGAACCCCGGCCCCCGCTTGCTACAGCGGCCCAGTGCTGCCCAGTGGCGAGGTCGAAGAGGCAGCATAGAGGCTGTCGCTGTAGCCTCAGCTGCTGTGGAAGTGGTGGCGCTACTCGTGTGCCTGTATGTTGGCTGTTGTCTGGGCTACATACTTACATATGTACAAAAATGGTACAAATCAGTTAGCCGCAGCATTACTTGAGTCGGAACGTGCCATCTCGTTTTGAAGTATTTCCCTGTATTGAGTGTATGGCAAGATGGCTGTGTCAGGATGTTGTCACTAAATATGTTGCCATATCGCTTAAACGGCTTTTTGATGTTCGACGCTGTCCTTAGTGATGGAAGGAGATCCTTAGCCTTCCGTTGTTTTCGGACCAGTCACGTTGCACCAGAGCTCAGCAGTTCATGCTAACGGCCTTCAACCCACATTCTCCTTTGTGCAAGCAAGCTGCTGAAATGTTTCCGGCACAGGTCCCTGTGCGGGCAATGAACTCTAGGAAAGGTACAGGCGTGGGTTGGACAACACGGGGTATTCACCGCTCAATTAGACAAAAAACGTCTTCTAAGTTCATCTTGAGACCTCGTGTCAGCTGAATGTCTGAACTTTGAGGTTCGGTGGAACTCCATATTATAGGTAAGGATTGCGCTGCCGCTCTCTGTGAGCTGAAGCGCTTTGTCCATCCAGTGCAGCGCTTCTTCAGGAATCCTTCGTCCTTGCTTCCCGGACATCTCGCGACTCGAGTGACGGACTTGCACATGCCTGTATTTATGTCAGGGGACAAGAACACCTGTAGCAGAACAAACAGAAACCTGCTGGTGCCAGGATCCTTCAGCCTTACCATCCCTCCGGCTGGCGAACGGAACTTCCAGGTCTCAAGAATGGAGCAAGCGGCGTCGTCTCGTCGAATCCCTCGAGGAGAAAACTTTCCCCTCAGCTCTGACATGGTAGACGCGAAATCCTTGTAACGATCCTGGAGACCCAGCATTACGATCGAGCACACATGTGACAATGTGCCCCCTCACATCGAACTCAAACTGCCTGGCTCTGATCTTAAACCAGGACTGTCGCCCCGTGCCTCCCTGCACAACAAAGCTCCACAATATTCTGGGCCGAAATGCTGGCCATCGATGCTCCCTTGGATTTCCGAAGCGCTCCATCAAACAAGATAGTCGACATGCTCTACACATCTTCGGGCCCATGCTGAAGTTAGAACCTTGGATCCAACTTCTTCCTGGGGTGAGGTCAAGCAGCCCGTGCCGTCCCCGTGCCAAGATCAGGCAAGCATCCCGAGGTTCGGTTCAAGTGCACGGTGAAGTCTTGCAAGTTTGCGCCGGGTGCCCATTCGACCTTAGAAACAAGCGGTGACTGAAGATGCCTGAAGACACTTACACACATGGCCTGGAGCACAGGTTGAATTTCAGTTGTCCCTACCCCTCAAAACCCCGGCACTGCTGTTGTCAGTGCACAGGCCTCGCAACGAAAAGTGGAAAGGAAATGGATTGTCTACCCCTCAACACTCAAATCTCCACAGAACCCCCTTTCGGCTGTCGATACCAATTGCTGAGGGCACATTCCGGCTTCTGAGAAGATGTGGGACGACATGAGTTCTCGACTGAATGTCAGACTTTTCTGTTCGGATTGCTTTAGATGGCCGCTTTTGTGCCGCTTCTCTGCAAGTTGCACACAAAAAGTGAGGAAGGCATGAGCTATGAACTGAATCAAGGCATCTGGCTTTGGCACAGTGTGAGCGAGAAGATTCCGTTGCCGCCACCACCAGGTTCCTTTCGCCAGCTCTTCTGCAACCCGCACGCCCGCACTGCACAGGAATCTTGTGTCAACTTCGCAGGGGGGCGCTCTGCAGATTCTTGCTGTCACGCTGTCACGTGTGTCATTGACCCATGAGAACAAGCTCGTGGCAGAATCAACGTGGGCGTTTTCGGCCACGACTCTTCCAGTTTCCACAGGTAGGGGCCCGGGAAGTCCCTGTGTCCAACACTTTTTCAACTTCCTTAGTTGCCAGAAGGGAAAATTTGTGCTATCATCATCAAGTCAAAAGGGCCCGTCTGGGTGCAGCACCCTGCAAAGAAGTCTCCGACAGGATGTACGTCCGAAAATCCTCCGCAAAACTTCCTTGCAAGATGATCCTGCTGGAAGCTGAAACAGATGAGTGCAGAAAAGCAAAGCGGTTCTGATGGATCCGGAACGCCAGTCTTTTCATACGTAAAAATAAGTACATTGTAGCTACACTTTTGGGGACGAGTACCCCAACTCCTGTTGTGCCTGACTTCATGAAGCACTTAGGAGATGATCAGGTGGTGACCGGATGGGAAGGGGCAGCCAATAGGATGGATACCAGGATAGCGAGACAGAGCGGAAGGGAGCTTCTGCGAGGCGGCTGCAATGGCAGACGGCATGGTGGGCCGTGCAGTCGGAGTCGAAGGTCGAAACATGTCGATATGCACAGCGTTTCAGGGCTGGTGGCGGCCTGGGCTGGTCCGACTCCTCATGCGGCAGGACGAGACTCCTATCTGACTTATAGTTTCTAGTTTAAAGACTTCGACATACATACATACATGCCTTCATGCAAAATATGCCTGCCTATACCTACACCTCCCGCTCTCGCTCCACACACACACTCACCAAACACAGAGACACACACACAGACAATCACACACACACACACAGACAATCACACACACCCACAGACACACACACAGACACACACACACACACACAAAAACACACACACACACAAATACACACACATGACACACACACACACACACACACACGCGGACGGACGCACGGACACACGGACACGCACACATACGCTCGCATGCAGACGCACGCACACGCACGCATGCACACGCACGCACGTGCACGCACACGCCCTTACACACACGCACGCTTGCGCGCTTGCGCAGACGCAAACGCACATGCTCACGCACGCACGCACGCACGCACACACACACACACACACCCACCCACCCACCCACCCACCCACCCACCCACCCACCCACGCGCACGCACGCACGCACGCACGCACGCACGCACGCATGCACCCACACACACACACACACACACACACACACAAACGCACACGCACTGACACAAACACAAACACTAACACTAAGACTAGCACTAACACAAACACTAACACTAACACGAACACTAGCACAAACAGTAACACACACACACACACAAAGCATACATGTACACATGCGGCTATGAGGGCGTAGCTGTGCACGTACTGATATCTTTGGCAGTAACCACCGTCACCCTGTGCACAAACATCAACGCAGTCCAAGGCACGGGACAGTACAGCTTTCGCACGCTGATCGAGTTTCATAGTTCCGTCGATCTGGGCAGGTACCAAAAACCCTGAAAGTGCGATGCGTCTCAACAGGTTCAACAGTATTCTTTGCTTCCTCCGCCTCTTGAGGCCATGGTGCCCGACTCGCAAAAACGAACACAAGCCTGAGGCCTATCACTTCTGACACACCCGATAAATCACCCAAAGACGCCAGTGGGTGTCTGAAACAATTCGGGCGAAGGACTTGCACCTACTTATATGGTCATGGATGCGAGTACAATTGAGATAAAATTGAAAATGAAAAATAACAAATGTAGATTTCGTAAGAACTGGTTTAAATGTTTTTTGCCATCATCCACTGTTCTTGCAGCATCTTTATCACTAGAGTAAGCTGAATTAACAGATAACTTAGCGAATTGTTGATGACTTGTGCTTTTTAAACAACAAAGATGAACAATGTATAAAAAAACTTGAAGAAATATCGTATCTCATACTGTTTAATTGGACACTTGTGCCAGATTCACAATGGGAGTAGCTACCTTGAAGAGATCGATCAAAAAGAACTATCCATCAAAAGCACATGAATATGTTATCTAAATCGCGATCGTGTATTTGGAATATGATCACCCATGTGTTAAAA